TCACATCATATGGCTCCCCCCGCAACGACCATGTCGTCGGCAAGTGACTTTGTTGGCGGGCTGTTTGTAGTATCAGAGTACTCAGTAGCTCTCAACTCATATCGTGCCAGAAGCTCTGGAACACTTCAATGGATTGAATCACGCCAGCATGTTACAAGAATTGGATGGAGAAAGTGCAGAATCGTGTCTTATTGTGGTGTATCTACACCAACGCCCCAGCGCCCTCGCTATGCTCCGAACCCAGATCTCTCAGAACGTGTATGCCGAATTAACGGCGGCGGTCTTGCAGCTTTGCGCGGAGGAATGCGCGGCGGAAGGCGCGGTCGCGGGCGGCGGGACGAAGACGATTCCAGAACTAGAAGTAGAAAGTCAGCATTGTGACAACTTTGGACAGACGAGCCAAAAGCACACAAAGATAGGAATACTCACGTTCTGCAGGCGCCTGGCCTCCTCTGCCTCAGCGCGAGCAACCTGCTCCCTGTCTTGCTCCTCCTTCTCCTCCTCGTTCATCTTCCTCAAGTACATTTGGAGGTAGTTGTACGCGAAGTTGGTCGCGACCCTTGACAGGCCCATGTTGGCCGGAACTTCCTCTCGCGCACGCGCAGCGACTCCCAAGTACCAGTGCATCCGGGCCAGTGCATAGGAGGCTGATGCGTCGTCCATAGTGATTTGGTGATGGTTTGATCGTTGTGGGGTTGGTTTTGAGGTTGTTGGTGAGGTTTCGTTGAGTCTGTCGCAATCGTCAGCCTTGATTATCATGATACTCATGCAGTGTAGCACTATCTCAATGATAGTTGGGATTCAAAGCTTACTGTATGAGGAGTTGGTGGTGCTAGAGTTCGATCAAGTCCAGCGACGAGAAGATATAGGACTTGGGCCCGCGCAACACGTCAATAGCAACGAATTCGGACAATAGATATCAGACTGTCAGCAGAAAGCTACATACATTGCTATTGTGCTTAAAGCTTTCAATATGGCCTACGTATACAGCATGCAAATTCCCGTCGAGTCACAACAGGTCCAGCCCAGCAACGTGGAGGTCCCTCGACCTGAAATTCTCTAAGTCACCTCGCAATTGCGCGCATTCGTATGCGTAAGCTCGCCATGTACGCAACACGTAATCCCAATTTGCGTTCAAGTCCTTCACGGCTCACCTTCATCAAGCTAGCAGTGCACATGATGTTGTCGATTTTTGCACCGCCAGGGCGTCTCCTCTGGTCCCCTTCACTTTTGGGGACGCGCAATTTGTAATCTCCCTCCAGGCAAACGCGCGTGGCCTTAGTGCTGTCGTCGCTACGTCAACAAGCTTGATCAATTTTGTCCTTACCCACCTACTCACCATTTTTTTCCACAACACACTCGCACCCCATGATCCCATTCTCCCTTACATCTTCTTCTACCCACTCTACATTATCAGCACATTTATCACTCTTTTCCACAGCTTCCTGGTCCTTTGAGATGGCAGTGTCAACCCCCGCATGCATGGGAGCGACAACAGTCACTCGACCGCGACGCACACCAGCAGCGCGTCACCTCCAGTCAGCAGCTTCTGACATCGATACTCTGCCTCCCGGCGTTTGGGTACTCACTCTCTGTATGTCCTCCCCTCTTCTTACTCACCCCCACCGCCCATGATGATCCCTGCCGTTGGCGGAAGCTACACTTTTTGAGACACGTAGAACCGCTACTCTGTGGCTGGTTCGCAGTTGATGATAGAACAAGCTATCTGATGGACAGCATACCCACGCATTGCGCCGGAAATCTTTTTGAGATCGTATGCTGATAGTTGCTTTTTAGTGACACACCCTCTCTGCAAGGTCCTTCGAGAAGACCTCGAGCTACGCCAGGCTGTCGCGTCACATTACCGCTCAGACTACCATATCCTCTACCTTCTTAAATTGGAGGACACGAGTGCCGTTGCGCGCATTCGCATTGGTGAGTTCTCCTCCGCTGCTCGCTCGTCACATTACTATGATTATACCTCTGCACATTCACAATCCTGCCCCTCCTATATAATCTGGTCGCTAGGCGATGGTCGCTTTCAGCAGCCTCTCAAGCTTCTCCGGAGGGGGACATGTTGAAGATTCCAGATCAGTCTGAACCATTACATCGCTCGTCCCATTTCACTCCACCTAAGATCGTTGAGCATTCGCTAACTGATTTGTGTCATCTCTGCGCAGTTGTCCGCTTTCAGTACCTCGCCCCAGGAGAGAGACTACCCTCGCATTCATCCTGTTCGACTGGATAGTTTACTGTCACCTCACAGGCAGCAGCGAAGTCGCGCTACCCAAGCACTTGTTCTCCTTCGATAACTCGCAGCGGCACGAGCTGTTACTACAGGTTTCAGTTTGCACATCAGTAAGTTCTATCTCTCCACTGCCCTCACCCTCCCCTGCAATGATATCAACCCGATTAGTTTCAAAGAAAACGCTTCTCTTTGATCCGTCGAGGAACGCTGCGAAGGAATTCGGCCTAACAGCCTTGAGCTCTCTAGCAGCTGTCCAGAGAGACAGCACTAATCTTCTTTGATACGCCGGCTTCTCTCTCCACATGTTTCGTTCCTACTCCTTGATATCCGCTAATCTTTCGTGGTATCTAGACATGGCGTCCGCCATTTCCCCGTCCACACGAGATGGAGTGGTCCAGCTCAGCCGACCCTACGTCCTTCACCCGAGTACCGGGTCGACAAGAGCAGTGTCCGCACGAATATTACGCCTCATGCCGGTAAGTTCCAGCTCACTACCCTTACCCACTGCTACCATGAAAACAAACCGGGTTGTGGTTTAGCTTCTCGAACCACCTCCCTTGAGGAACGTTGCAACGGAATTCGGCGTAAAACCCTTGAGCTCCTTAGCTGCTAGTACGAAGACACACTCGACCATGCTGATAATTTGATCTGCCAACACCCCTTCTTACCATCCTTCATGTCTGTTTCCTGGATTTCGCTGATCTTTTTTTATACTCAGAAGTACCAAGACAGCGGCTGCATCGTCTCTTTGCTGCTGATTCCGATGGCACACGAAACCACAACGGTAAGTCAACCTCTCCTTATCCTCTAGCGATACCATGATGATACCACCGATATTGTCTGAGTCCGTTGATGACAACATTGTACTCATCCCAGCTGACGTTCCCCAATCCTTTCCACACGTGCTCTTCCTTTACACGATGAGCATCCGCTAACCATTACACAGGACCGCAGTGAGTTTACACTGTCCGCTCAGCTGACAACTTCAGCAACTTCTGCTTCTTGACCGATCAGATCAGGTACGTAAGCGCGCGTCCACTCCCTACTTTCTCGCAAGATGATCAACCGCCCAACTCCCGAATCGTTCCAAGGTCGCTTCTCAACATGAGGGTGCTAATCGTTGGTTCACGTTTCTGACGAGACATGTTCCCCTCTTTCTGCTTCTGGCCGTTGTTGAACTTCACTGACATCTGCGAGATCAACTAGAGAACGAACGCCACCGCCAAATGCTGATGGCATTGAACGTCGCGATTGATCCGACTACGGTACGTCTACATCCTGTCCTCTTCACAATCGGCAGATGATGAGATAGAGGTGACGCCACAATGGTATCTGATAGTCTGAACTCTTCATTGAAGAAACTACGTCACCACTCTGATGCCTCTCTTGTTCCTCCACTCCAAACGAACATTTCCTCGAACCATACTGATCAGATGTATGTCAAGCAGTCTCTCCATGCCTACGACGACGGCACCTCCCCCCAGCAACGCGCGCGATCCCTCCGCACCGTCCACCTCGAACGCAACCTCAGCCATGCCGGCTCGCGCACACAAGGCAGAAAGAGAAGGACCAAGGCGCGCATCAGCCAACCCGCATTTCGGCATACGTAGCAGTACAGCCTCACAAGCTGGCACTTTCACATCATCACGGCACGGGCACGTAGCTTCTGCCTTTCCCATGGCGTTGCTGCACACCCACACGCCGAAGAAATTCTGGTGTCACTGGACAGTCTCCGCCATGTTCTTTACGTACTTGCTACGGCAAGTCACATGGCGTTCTTGACAGTGACATCTGCCCTTTGTAGTAAGACTTGATTGAGCTCAACCTACTCGGTCAGGTTTAAACTAGTGGCTAAATATTAACTTTGTCATAGCTAACCTGCCAGGTAAGTCACCTTTCCGTTTGATTTCTTCATTCCAGTCACTCTTACTCACATTGAACAGATCCCCTGGCTCCTCATTGTAGTCCAACTTCTCAGCGGCACAATTTTGGTTCATTCTACTTCTTCCATAAGAACGATGGCAGGCTGTGTCGCAAGATCAAGATACCTCATTTATCCTCGTGCTCTCCGAGCATAGATGGGCAGTTGAGGTGAGCGCTACAAGGGGTGTCTTGAGCCTCATCATGGTCTTGGCATCAATAGTAGCAGCTTACATTTCGGTTCTACTGGGGGTTTGTTGGGGGTATGATGGAGCGCGAGGACGACGTGGAGCTGGAGTTGAAGCTTGTGAGGGGGTTCAATTGGGGTGTACTCGGTAGAGGGTGTGTGGGAGGGATTTGGTCGCAGCATGAAACTCGCAGTATGCGTCTCAGACTACAGGATCTTCTGGTTCTTTTTGCGTAGATATCAAGATTGCAAGTCTTTCGAACTCCCTCAATTCTCACGTGCCGCAAAAGTGAAGGTGAGCCTGCTGAAATGGCACTGAACGCACCAAGGACGAAAATTCAAAGGAAGAGAAAACGTGCGCCATCACTGTTTCCTCGCCGCGCGACGTGCAATTTCCCGCTTCTCACGGTGAAAAGTGCTCCCCCTCTCCTCTTCCCAAAGCGTATGTGTGAGGGTGAGGAGGGGGAGCAAGGTAGGTAGGTACAAATCCGCGTCTCTGACTGACTTTTGCTCCTTAACCCAAACACACACCCACATCCGTATGTATCCTTCTGAGCCTTCTATTTCAGCTTCAAATCACAGTATGAGAGTACATGTAGCTAACATAGATATACGTAGAAACCATACCAAATCATCACCACCAACATGCCCGTCTCGTCCTCCGAGCTCGCCGAGGGCATCCACCTCGCCCGCCGCGAAGTAAGTTTCTGCCTACTACAATGCATCCACAGCTCTATTCTACGATACAATTTCATACCCAGGAGGATACAGTACTAACAGGAATTGTAGCTCAGGTTCGCCCATGCCGCCCGCCGCCGGCACGTGCAGTGCGGCACGTGGAGTGTCGACGAAGACCTGGCGCTTCGGCGCACCATCCGCCTCTGCCGGCGCGCGCTGGCCGTCTTCCTCCCCGCCTACGAGGTGATCCTCGAGCGCGAGGCCAACTTTCAACGTAAGTTATATTCCTTTCACTTGTTTTGGTAGCTGGGCATTTGGAGCTGTATCAGCAGAGTGTCTTCATATCTACTCTCCTTCATCAACACCACTCACACTATACCTATTTTGAACACTGCTAACATGTAAACAGAGGCATAGAGCTCCCCTGGTCCCCCTCCTCGCGCCCCTCGGCCCCGCGCCCTCGCCTGCCGCGCCCTCGCCGGCTGGCTGCCCTTCGGGGACAAGATGACCTCGGGCGGAAACTTTGGGCCCTAGGCCATACGATTTGAATACATTAAATAGATCGTTTCCTCCTCGCCATATTATGCCGTCTTGATCTCCTCTGTGCCAGTGATGTGTATACCTAAAGACTACCTACGCACCTATCAGCTGCCCATTTCCAAGCCACATGTATGCCTCACGCCGAGTTATAAACTTCGTATCACAGCATAACGAGCGGCATGTAGGGTCCTGGCATCCTTGTATTCCTACTTACAGCGGGTATAAAGCGAATGTCTACTCCAACTCCTACTCCTCCAACCAGTCCGCAGCACTACCAATAGCCCTACTGACGATGCCCACCCACCTCTCAACCCCCTCTTCACTCTCCTCCTCAATCGCCTCAATGATACCAGGGAAGGTCGCACCAGAATAGCCCGTCCATTTCCCAGGTGCGAAGACGACGTGCTTGAACCAGCTTCGGCCGTCAAGGCCATCGGGGAACAGGAACTTCCTCTCCAGGTACTTGTACTTTGTGTTGATGCCGCGGATAGCGAGGTATAGTTGCACCTTCTTCCAGGGCTGCCACCAGGGAATGTCGCCGATGTTTTCGTATTGCGCTGCGAGGTCAGCGGCGGTGGCGTCGTGGAGGATAGACGCGAAGAGGAAGTGGGAGACGGCTTCATCGAGAGGTTGGAAGACTTCGCTGGAATCTTTGTTTGGGGGACCAGCGTCGAAGGCCTTTCGTTTGACGACGTCGACGTAGGTCTGGAGGCCGACCGCGTAGTCTGTGGCATTCAGCTGGAGGATGGGTGTCTCGACGAGCTTGGCTGCTACGAGCGCCCACATCTTGGCGATAGTGGCATGGTATTCGAAGGTCGGGTCGCCATACTTCTTCATCCAGTCGAAGGAATCGTAGTTGCTGTGATAGTGGTAGACTGCTGACTTGGCGTCAAAGCCGAAGCCCATGTCGATACATGGAATGCCGGCGAAATCTTGGAAGGCGGTGAAGTCGCTGCCAGAGCCCATCGTCTCAATGCGCTTGTCCCAAACATCGTAGACAGATTGGCCAGCGACGGTCTGGTTCGGAGACATGACCATACGAGCTGATAGATGTTAGCTGAGGCTGGGTGACAGGGTATGACAGCAAGCTTACCGACTTCCTCGACCACATTACTCATCAAGGGCGCTGCTGAGAGCTTGAAGTTCGGGCCTGCTGTGGCAACGTCGACATTCAGATATGCGACTGTGGAACCAGAGAGCCAGGGCAGGTACTCCTCGACCCACTCGGTGCTGCCGACCAAGCCGTACTCCTCTCCGTCCCAGCTCGCGAAGACGATTGTCCTCATTGGCTTCCAGCCAGCTTCCATGGCAGCCCCAAAGCTTCTGATGACCTCGTTGAGCGCTGCGCTGCCGCTGTTTGGATCTCCTGCGCCGCCAGCAATCCAAGCATCGCGGTGGTTGCCGAGGACAACAACTTCATCGGGAATGGTGCCGTTGATGATTCCAATGACATTCCACAAGGGCGTCGTAACGTACTCCTGCTCGTTGACCAGGTTGAGCACGAGGTCGTCTGGCGAAGGCCCAATGTTGTATTCCACGCCCTTGTAGTCCAAACCGCCGCCGTGCCAGTGCTCGTTGAAGGATGAGGCTTTCGGACCGTGGCCATTGAGGGCTTTGAGGAGGGGAAGCGCGTCGAGGTAAGAGATAGGAAGAGATGGGATGTGTGGCATTGCGTGGTCGACGGGCTGGCGAGGGCAGCCAGGCTTCGAGGGATAGCCTGGAGTGGTAGGGTCACCTGGCGCGAAGCCTGTAGATTGTTAGCATGGCACGACAGAATGATGGGTAGCAACTTACTCAGAAACTGAACGCTTCCTCGCTGGACGCTGCTGGGTTCTCTGGCCGGTCCGTCGGGATATGTCGCAACGCCGTTCTTTTCGGTGACCTCTCCATCATCGCCAGGGTCGGTGTACATGGCAACACCAACCATGCCCAGCTCTTGCGCGCGCTTGACCTTGAGACCGCGGAAGACGCCTCCGTACTTGGCCAATGCGATCTTGCCTTCCAAACTGACGTTGGCCGCCTGTAGCTCCTCAAAGTCTCTGTACGTTCCGTAGTTGACGAATACGTAGGGCGCCGTCACGTTGCCAGAGGCGCTGTATCCGTGGAAGGTTGGCACGCGGTCTGCGAGCTGGCTTGACTTGTCCTCGTCCAAGACGTCTTCTTCCAATCGCGCTTCGTATTTGACCTTCCACTCTTGCTTTGTCGTGCTGTCGGCCGCGTCTTCCTTGTCGCCAATCTTCTCCATGAGTGCCAATCGATGGCCCTTGGGGTAGTTGATGTACACGTCGTAGTCGACAATGGTGCTTTCGACTCCCCATTCCTGCCATCTTTCTCTGGTCCATAGAGCCTGGCTAAGGTTCTTTCCGGCGAGATGCGGTCCGCTGGTGTAGTACCGGCTCCATTCTTCTGCCTTTTCAGCACTGGGCGTTTCCAAGAGCGCCGCCTTGAGGCCTTCGGAGTCCAGGGCCGTCTTGCGCGCCCATCCGTCGGGTATTTGCGAGGTCGATAAGGAAGATGCCGAGAATCGTGATGCAGGGGCTACTTCGTCTTGAGTGGGTGGCGCAAAAGCGAAAAGGAAGACGGCAGCAAGTCCTCCGGCGATTATCGTCGCACTCAGCAACGTCGTGCATACAAATCGAAGGCGATGGTGTGGGTATCGGTCGCGATGGGGTCGGATATCGACGCGCTGAATCAGCGGGGTGCTTTCGTCGGCCATTATCGCTGGCTTCTCATTGCTCGCCGGGAGCTTCATATACAAACAAGAGGATTCTTTCACACCTGGCCAGAGGCATGCAAGATGGAAGTTGAGATAAGAGACAGCTGCGCGGAGCTATGCCGGACACCGAGGTCGATGGCGTCACGCACTTATCTCGTCCTATCTTAGCGCTGCTGCCATGTCAGGGGTCTGAGGGCCGCGGAATTTGTTGCCAACATCAGACCTTCATCCGCATCGCACATCTCTTCGAAAGGAGCGCGCGTTTCAGCAGGCATCTCTAATCACGCAGTCAAATGGTTTGGAGTTTCATTCTATGCGACAGACTGTCCATCAACCACGTGATCGCCCCCCGCACGTCGCGCACAGCGTCAGCCGGCCATCGTACTCCATGCATTGCACCTGAAGTTCTATATCTCTAATAATTCCGCAAACTATGGTAATTATGGCGAGTGGCTTCTACGGTCTACGAATGAATCTCTGTAGCCTCGCGCAACTTCTGTAATGTCATCTGGCTCATGTTCTCAACTCCATCTCTCCACACAACGCTTTGTCTTTTTCGTCAATGATTCATGTCTATCAACTTCTTCCGATTCTTGATTTGCTCGGCTTTCGCACCTGCGGATCTCATGTTGCCGTCTCTGATATCAAACGACCAGAACAGCCAGCAGCTCTATTTGAGCCTCTGAGCGCAGCGACGACGTTATTTCTTCTTGTCATTTTCCGCACAATGTTCTCCAGGCAACATTGCCCTAACGCTCTCTCATCGTAAGCTGGCATCCAGCCTCAGTCAACAAAGACGTCGTGAAGATTGCATAATGGCCATCACATCCATTGTCACGTTGTCAACGCAGAGGTCTATACTGATTCGAAGCAATGTAAGTAGATTTATATACTAAAGCCTGTTTCTTCCCTGTGATGGTTCAGAATCCACTCCAGTCCGAACTTACCCAGCATTGCAATCTTGACGCGAACGCAACACCCCGAGCCCAACACGTCGAACCCGCAACACGAGCCCGCAACACAATGGCCACTCCGTCCATCGAAGCCCCCCAGCTCATGGGTATCACAGGCGACAACTGCGCATCCTGCAAGTCGACTACCGTCCCACTTTACGCCCTGTCTTGCCACGAGAGCGACGACTTCCACTGCCGCGACTGCCTCACCAAGACCTTCCACGCCGTCAACGACCAATTCGTACGATGCCCACACCCGTCATGCCGCCGTATTGTCGGCTTCGAGCAGCCTACACCCCTCGCGCAGAACCTCCATCTTGACAACGAGTTTTACGACCGGGAGCGCATCGACAAGATCCGCGAGCAGCCGGAGGTCATGAATAACCTGATCGCGTTCGTAGGCGAGGAGGCTGAGGTCATTTTACAACACGTCTACACTATGTTCGAGGATCAGCTCCTGAACCCCGTAGCCCTCGGCGGCGTCGCTGGACACTACACTGCGGGTGTCGCAAACACGCTCTTAGCCAGCTTCGCCTGCAACCCCTTCGTCTGCGGGCTCCTCGCTCAGATTAAAGGCACGTTTAAGCTAATGACTACCCCGTTAGAGCTTGAAGAAGACCTCCATTCCCTTCTTGATAGATTACTTCACGAGTACGCGCAGTTGAACTACGGGAACGAGCTCACTCGGCACGGTATTGATTTGGAACATGAGGCTGAAGTGCTGGCAGCTGCACTGGATAACTACAAGCCCTTCAATGAGCTCAAGGAGAACTGGGAGCTGATCATCAAGAAGTGGGTGGAGCTGCTGGCTTGGAGGCACTTGGAGCGCCTGGCACCGCCTGAAGGAGGTGCTGCGGAGCGTAAGAACCGTCAGTTCTAGGGCATAACATGTAGGCCAGAATCACATCGCGAGTATATCATAGTTTAACATGCCGTCTTTCCAATCAATATCACCATTAATGCAATCTGTAGCCTGCCATATCTCTGCTCGTACGTCATATCAAAACTGCTGCCGCACTGACCCGTCAACACGTACCTTCCCCGTCCGCTCCCAGCCAACCACATCACTCCCCCGCTCCTTCCCTTTGCAAAAGTCACCCTCACCACGACTTTAATCTCCCGGTGTTCCCCCGACAGCACCCGGGCACGACCCCCAACAGCATGACTAAGAAGCTCCGTGCTTTCAGGCTCTTGGCGGCTCTCCCTCG